TTGAAGAGCAGAGCTACCACGTCAATGAGTCGATCAACCAATGCCTGGCAGCATCTGGAATTGTACATCAGGTCTGGAAAAAGAAAAGTCTCAACACCACAGTGCATCAGAGATGGGCAGCAATCCCTTTCTGCTTTACTCATTTGTGTCCATGATTGTACAGTCTGGGATGAACATATTTATGAAGCAAAAGATAACTAGAGAACTACTAGCAGTCCTATGGAACACCTCATGTTTATAAGTATACATAACCTAATCCTGCGACATAACTGTTTTGGCATAAAGGACAATTGAATGGAGACACAGAATCAACATCTGGCGGCATCTGGAATTGGTAGGAAGAGCTGCAAAATAATTGACATCGATCATGGTCACAGGAAGGACAGTGCAGATTTTCAACAACAAAAAGGTGTATCTGGTCAGGTACCACTCACCACAGAGTGGGAGCCACAATAAATTAGCAAAACAAGGCCCCTATAAATAAAGAAATAAAACATAGGAGAGAAAAAGTCAGTAGTATAAAGGAAAACACTGACAAAGTTGTGAGAAAAAACAAGCACATCTGTACAGTACTACTGCTAATCGAGAAGTGATTAAATTAATGCAAATGTGGAGAGGTTAATGTATGGGTTGTGTTGCACTCCTATTGCTAGAGAACTGCTGCATAATCATTTACATGTGGATATGCAGAATTGGAAGGTAGAAGGGTAGTGGCAAGCACTGAAAAAATTTGCAGCAACAGAGGGCGGTATTAATCAAGAAAAGCTATTTTCTGAGAAGAGGTAAGATGTATTTGAAACCATTTATTTCTTGATAAGAATAAAAGGACTAGTAACAAGATGTCAAGACATACTACATGAGGGCTGTTAACAGGTCCTCACATAACTCATTTTATGGGTGCTTTTGAGTGTCAGTGTGATAACATCCATCAGACATGAAGTACTGAAACTTATCAGTCTCTTATTATTACCTCCACCATCAAAGGTGGATGAAGGTTATGTTTTCACCCCTGTACGCATGTTTGTCAGCAAGATTTCTCGAACATGGCTGAATGGATTTGGACGAAAGTTGGTATACATTTGGATTATGACTCAACTTAGAAGTGATTAGTTTTTGTAGGGTCAGGGACACAGCAAGGTCACAAAAATATAAAAAATCTCTATCTGTTAATCCTATCGACATGGGTTACGGGTCAAAGGCCAGGTCATCATGTTTGTTGACTAGCATCCAAGATTTTATTGAACTACTATTTCAGGAATTTATGTGAATAAGTATGGTATCAAACTGTAGATTATAATTTATATTTTATTATCATACATTAGTTAATTACTTAATTTAAAAGTAAATATAAAAAAACACCTAAATAACGATTTTTGTGTGTCACATGGTATGTTAAATGTAGCATTGGTTCATATTAGATGTTTGTGATGTTCAAATACAAAATCTATAGTTTCTTACAAAATAGGATCTCAAATTACCAATATTGATATGCTAGAATATAAAATAAAAACCTCCTATCTTTTCTATTTGCTGAGATATTGCTACATGTACTGAATCAAACACAATGGCCACACCCACCTCAGTCCATTTTTGGAAAGACTTGCTTACATACACCTATTTCTGTCTATGATGTGTGAATAACCAATTGAAATATCATCTCTTCTAGTTATGAACTGCTTGATGTAGATTGCAAATCCTTAAAATTTTTCATGTGGAGGATGTGAAACGAAACAAGTTTTTATAGGTTTTACATATACATTTTGAAATAACCAAAAATCATGAATTACTATATCAATACTATAGAATTCCACTATAATTTATCAAGCTCAGTAAATTAGCTGTATTCGAGCATAAAAAAAATATGAAATTTTTAGCTCACTAAAATCTAACCTTACCATTTGAAATTTGTCACAAAAAGGCAGGGTTTCCCTCGTAAATACTTTACAAAGGCTCAGAGAACCACATGGGGGACATCCTAATTGTTTGCTATATGCCTTTATTTACTGTTCTGTGTTTTAAGAAAAATAAGTTTATGAACTTCTTTGTAAATAGTAATAATGTATATACATATTTATTATAACTGTAGGTGTTTTTGTGATCAGTAATTACAACCTTATTTCATATTCTAATCAACCCCTACTTAACTCTAATAGTCCTGTATCCTGTTGAAAGGCTTTTGATGTAACATCTAAAGATTTAGAAATTTACAGTTCATATAAGGATTAAAGGGAGTTTACAGCAAAATGACTGAAATAAATAATACTAGTTCTTAAATAATATATTTATGATTTTGTTAGATTAAAAATTAGGAAGTTGAAAAATAAACTGAAATCAGTTTTTGACCCAACCAACAACATACATTAACTACTTTCAAAGTATTGGAGTTAAAAAACAAAACAGCTGTACAGATTTGCAGCTTTGTTTCATAAGTGGGAAGTTTTAAGTATTCCTACTCCCCCATGTAAAAATTATAATTTCAATGAGGGTGTGGGGGAGAAGTACATAATTGAGTTCAGTTTGGATTTTTTTTTAAATTCTTTTATCCAAAACAGAAATATAAATATGAATATTTCAGTTTTAGTTTTATTTTGTAAATTATTTGAAAAGAAAAATAAGATAGAAGTTTTTAAAACTTGTGTCATGTGCCACTGTGACAAAAAAAAGAAAAATGGGAAAAAAAATTTCACAAATGTATTTCTACTTACAGGAAGTAACTCTGGGATCAAATCATTCTTGAATAGATCATTGATGTCAAAGTCATGAGGAGTTTGTTTGGATTCTGGTTTCTCTTCTGTCTTCAGTTCACCAAAAGTTTCATGGCTTTCCTGAGCTTCTTCGTATTCAACTGCAGCTGTACTCTTAAACAGGTCACCAATATAAAAGTTATGTGGTTTTTGTTTTGATTCTGGCTCCTCTTCTATCTTCAGTTGACCAACAGTTTCATAGCTTTTCTGAACTTGTTTACATTCAACTGTTGTTGGACTATCTATAATATCAAGCTAAATTTTAACTAGTCACTATACAGAAAATTAGGAGAAACAGATGTTTCCAACCAGATGGCTAACTATAAAATATGTTGAAGTTACAACTACAGTTATGATACAGAAGTATATACTAAATACAAAATACTTTCAATCACAGAAATCAATAACAATACAATTTAATAAAGAAAACCCAAACTGAGACAAAAGCTACATATAGAAGATACAAATCAACACCTGTATTTATCACTATTTGTATAAATAATTCATACACCTACATCTGCATTTATCAATCATTTTTATACAAAGAAAAAACATCACATTTGTATACACAGTTCACACATTTACACCTGCATTAATTATTATACAAGTACACAATAAATCCACACACCCGCATTCATCAATGTTTATATACACAAGACTAAGTCAGTATTAATCACTATTTGTATACACAATTCACACATCTACATCTGCAGTTATCACCATTTGTATACATAATTCACATATCTGAAACTATATTTATCTCTGTTTATATACACAGTCTACACCTCATCACTATATATATGTGTCATGAAGAAACACTTGAATAAATATATACACACACACACATATATGGCCACCTTTCACTAAACATTACAAATCCATGGTACATAAAAATTCAAATTTTTTATTAACCATTTACTACGCATGACAAAGTTTTATAATGTCTTACATTCAAAATTTTATTTATATTACACTAATTAGTATAGCATAAAATCGTAGCTAATAATACATATTTTAATAGTATACAAGTTTTAAGTTCCTAATTCTACAAGGCAATATTAAAAATATCTTGAATATCCCCTAGTGTGACACTCATGACATTTTCTCTAGGCATCTTGTCTTCTCTATTTTATCCATCACCCTTCGAAAAAGTATGAAACTAAACATAAATTAAGGCTCTATAGAAGCATCACTGTCTTCAATTTTGTTTGGTTACAAAGCTATGAATAGAAAATCACATCTCTTCTGCCCACCTACCTATCACATCTTCTCTTTCAAGCTGTGTTAGTAGTTCTCTTTTACATTTAATTATATATATTACCTATAACCAATAGAAAGTCAAGGTTTACATCTATCAAATGAAGTATTGTATTATGGAAAGTTAATGACATGCTTGGATGAATTTGTAATAACTCTTGTATTACAGATAGAAAGCCAGAAAAATGTTGAGAGAGTTAGAAGAATTTGTCTGCTTTTTTGCATGTTATTATTCTATATTCTTTGGTAAATTATTTAATTAAATAAAAATCATTTAATGCTCTACTACTATTAGTATAAAATATATAGGCTTAAGTATAATCAACAGCAAGAAAAAATATCATTAGGTAAGTAATTTATTTCTGGTTTTTCATGTTTATTTTTTATTATTATAAAAGTAACTAAAATGTAAGAATAGGAATCTTATTAGGTTAGTTAAGATAAGGTAAAATAAACAATAATAATATAATAAAAATGCTTCATGAGGCATGCACGTGCCCCGAATGATTTACAACTTATTATGGGGAGGACAGTAGTTAGACACAGATCAAAGAGCAATAAAACAATAAAATTTAATTATAAATAGATGCATGCTGTTACGAGTTTAAAGCTACTTAGGATAAACTAATGTAGCTTTATGTTCCAATTTAAAGTCATTCTAGAAAGAAAAAATGGTAATTTAGATTTATTTCAATTTTCTTTTGGTGGTTACGAGGTCTTTCAAGCTGACCGATCCCATTTTGAGTTAGGGTAGAGAATATAACAGACAAAATATAAAGTTTTACTGGAAAAAAAAATTGAACTGTTTTTTGGAGGTTTTAGGATTACACAAAGAAAGTTTGAGATGAGGAAAAGTATTTTTAATCTTAACATGAAAATTACTTTGCATATGACTATTCAAAACAAATACTCAATATATTAATGGACAAATCTTTATCAAAAATTAGTTTATTAAAAATACGATTTTTGGTATATGAAAGATTTGTAATGTTAACTGAAAGACTGACAAATTTTGTGACGATATACACACTATATTGAAAGTTAAAAGTATTAAATCTATAGACTTTAAATGAGTACAAAGGTCAAGTGGTCAGTCAAATCAATCAACCCCATGTTGAGAGAGTTAAATATTTTTCACTGAAAAATTGTCTGTGATATATATGGAGTCAAGGTGTTGACTGCCCCAAGTGCAAAGTGATTTTCATGCTAAGAATAAAAATAGTGTTACGACAGCGGAAGTCACGTGACGCAGCTGGCGCATTGGTGCTGGTGGCATGTGCGAGGAGTTTCTCGAATGATCGTGAATTTCCTAGTTTGTTCGAGATGCCCTCTTTTTTAGTATATAAGCCCGGCAAATTAAGAATAGAGAGGTAGATAGATTGAAGATAGAGATAATTGAGTCAAGTGAACAGTAGGCACTGTAAGTAAAGTGTGTGAATCACTGTGATTTATAGCGTGTGTCATAAAGGTTGTTAAGTTTAAAGTGGCTGTGGAAATTCTGTGTATTAATCATCTGAAAATTGTTAAACTTTGGTTGTGTAATCTCTAAAACATCCTTGATAAATATCAAACTTTTTTTTCAGTAAAACTGTATTTTATCTGTTATTTTCTCTACCTTAATTCTATATCCAATCAGTCAATTTGACCCATCTTTCTGTCTAGCATAATTGTAAATTGTAACATGAAATTACAATTATTTATCCTAAATACCTTAAAGCTCAATCTATATCTGTATATATATACTTAATTTTATAGTTTTCATTGCCCTTTGAACCATGTCTAACTGACAATCCTGCCAAACAAGTTGTATTGCACTCAATAAATGTGTAGCTCACATGACCATATTGAATTACATAATGCAAAAGTTGCTCACAAGCATATTTCATGAAGAATTTTCATTATTATTATTTTTCTTTATCTTAGCTAATCTAACCTAATAGGTTTCTAATTTTTACATTTAGTTACTTATATAACAATAAATAAATAATATACATGAAAAACGAGAAATACAGTACTTACCTGAGTGCTAGTTTTTTGTTTTTTTTTGCTCTCAACTGTTGATGAAACTTAAGCCTACATTTCTTTTTATTATTATTATTATACTAATGGTGCAACTACACAAAATTGTTATTTGATTAAATAACACACTTAAGAATACAGAATAACAAAATGCACAAAGTGAATAATGTTCTATAACTATTACAATCTTTCTGGCTTTTTTAAATATGTGATAAAAGCCTTTAAAAATCAGCTAAGCCTGTTGATGTGAATACTGTAAGATAAAGTTTAGAACTAAAGGCAAAATAGAAAACTATCTATAGAATAAAATGTAATATGATACATTTGATATATTATAGAATGTGTCAGAGAGAATTATTGGCAATATGTAAAAGAGTGGATGTAACAGGTGGGCACGACAAGTGGGTGTTATCGTCTAGTTTATGGCTCCATAAATAAATATGATTGAAGGCTATAAAAATTATGCTTTGCCCGAGTAATATGCATATTATAATGAATAATTTACATTAGATTCAGTACTTCTAGTTGAGGTGGTAAATAAATTAGAGAAGAAGGAAGACTTAAAGAACAAACATCACAATTCTCATACTAGGAGAGATTGAGGATTTTTTAAATATTTCCTTATATAATCAATAACTTAAAACTTGTATAATACTAAAATTTGGTTCATTAACAATGTTTTGATGCCAAAGTGACTTGTGTGCAAAGATAATAAAGTAGTTTAATTACACTTTGTATGTGACTCTGTAAAAGGTTGTGATGTGCACATTTTGACCTTTATCTAGCAAGGGGGTTATACACAACATTCACATATCCATATCTGCATTTATCAGTTTATATAAACTATTCACAAACCTAAATCTGCACTTATCACTATTTGTATACAAAATTCACACCTCTACACCTGCACTTATCACTATTTTTATACATAATTCACACCTCTGCACCTGCAATTATCACTCTTTTTATACATAATTCACACATCTACACCTGCAATTATCACTATTTTTATACATAATTCACACCTCTGCACCTGCACTTATCACTATTTTTATACATAATTCACACCTCTGCACCTGCACTTATCACTATTTTTATACATAATTCACACCTCTGCACCTGCACTTATCACTCTTTTTATACATAATTCACACCTCTTCACCTGCAATTATCACTATCTTTATACATAATTCACACATCTACACCTGCAATTATCACTATTTTTATACATAATTCACACCTCTGTGTATAAAAATAGTGATAAGTGCAGGTGTAATTCACACCTCTTCACCTGCAATTATCACTATTTTTATACATAATTCACACCTCTACACCTGCAATTATCACACTTTATATACACAATTAGTCTACGTCTGCATTTATCAGTGTTGATAACACAATAAGTTATGTCTGCATTGTTTTGGACTTACAACTCAGCCATCAGGGTGTCTTTGACCTTGCATTAATAAAAATTAATAACTCACCATATCTCAAACACACAGCATGATAACTAAGGGACATTATAAAATACAATTTTGTTTTTGTCAACTTATGATTTACAATACAAACTAAACCACTATATAACAGCTATTTTGTATACCATTACACATGATGCAAGAAACTACGTGACAGCCAGTTTTCACATATAGTATATATATTATAGTAAGCCTAATGATGTCATAAGCTGTTATTTTATATAGTATATATATTATAGTAAGCCTAATGATGTCATAAGCTGTTATTTTGTTGACCAAAACAGTGTAATAAAAAATCATAAAAAAGTATTCAAACTCATAAATAAGTAGTGTATATATATATATCTTACTCTATCTTATACATAAAACTTATCAATTTTCTCCTTTTACAGACTTATGTACATGTACAATAAAGATGACACTCAATTGCAATATCTCTAACTTTGGCCAAGGGGCAAAATATGAAGCTGGTGTTCATGACTGAGTTACAGAACTCAGTCATTCATGTAAGTAGAAATTTAACATCCAAAGCCAAAGCTATTACTTCAGTGTAATAAACACTGAGAGACTCTCATTAAGTTAATGTTTTATCTTTCTGTGGCTCATAAATAATAGAAAACCACCACTAATTTACTAAATGAAATCTCCACATGGCCTTGAGGTAGTTCTAAACAAAATAAGAAATCTTTACAGTAAACTTGTGTAAACTACACAAGAAAGGTAAATCTACAGAAAATACACCGAAAAAGAAAATAATCTCAGTTTTCAAACAATAATTTTATGATTTAATTAACTTGAAAACTGTAAAACAAAACATAAGGACAGATGAATTTGTTTTTCGATAACAACACTTTCAAAAATTCAGTTTTTAAAGCATTGCTAAAAATAAGCCTCAAATGGAAAGAAATTTACAGATTTGAAACTTAGTTTCATCTATTGGCAAGCAGGAAATTTAGAGATTTCCACCATCTCATTAATGATTACAACAGGAGACAAACATCGAAAATCAGGATAATAGTTTCAATGTTTAAAAATTAATTTATATAAAACAAGTGTAAATAAAACTTATATCTACACATTTCAATTATGATTATATTTTGTATCAAATTTGAGGGGATAGATCACACAATTTTTTAAACAATGATGTCATTTTGTCCCTGTAAAATTCCAAGGTACAGAGCTAGAAGTGATTTGTATAAAGTACTGAAATTACTATCAACCTTGGCTAATAATACGAGTGTATTTTATGAATAAAAATTACCCCTTTTGAAAGAAGTTGTCCTCGAGTCATTTGCTTCTTCATTATCTTGTTGGGTAAGGGCGAGCTTCCGGAATGATTCTCGACTTTTCTTACCCTTAGAACGTCTTCCTTCTCTCTTATCCTCTTGATGGAAATCATCTAGTCCCACTAACTCAATAGTTTCAGACTGGCTGGTTGGACCTTCACTAAACCATTCAGGTTCTTCCTCTGTAATGTGAACATCTGTTCGACCTTAAAGGAAAACAAATTATAATACTCAGTCTAATAGAAACCAGTCTTAAGAGGAATAGCTACAATCACCTATATTTCTGTTTTAATGACATATAACAAACACATTCACAATAAACAAACTGACTGTGTTATTTACAGTTTATCATATTTTCTTCTTCAGCAAAGTTTCATCTTGTGTATCTTAGTTGGCTTCAACTTCATTGATATTCTTTAACACATTTCTTTCAAGACTTCATTTTGCCAACTGCAGCAGTCACCATTTCTGGCTTTAGATCATAAATAAACACATAAAAACCAACAAAACTTTAGTGGTGACCTAAGACCTTATCTTACAAAATGGCATCACCATTATCTTTGTCAGTCTAGATAATGTAATTTTTATCAACTTTGCACTGTTTAGATATGATAAAAAATAACATCCAATAAATACAGATTTGAATCATCAGGATATTTTGCTATTGCCTTTTGTATTCGCTAAGCCTAACAAAATGTACCTGATATCTTGTCACAGCAGGAACTTCTGTAGCTTTCAACCAGACAATTTAATACAAAAACATTTTCAAGAATGAAATAAACATCTATAGAAACTATGAAAATGTCTAATTCCCAAATTTATGGTTTGTTTCTAAGTATTCTTGTCTTCTCATTATATTACTTCTTTCACCCCTACAAGAACTGTGGCTAGTCCTTATCTATAAAATACTGCTCAAATTACTTTACATATTCTAGGTTAATGTAAAAACTTGATTTAAATGCTTTAGTTACCTTTGAAGCAACCTTGCTTAGTAACTTATCAGACCACAAGCTGTGACATCAAAGAACTGTAGTAACAACACCAGTTACAAAGAAGGAAATAAGATAACCACAACATGAATGATTATATAGTTAAGGGATAACAGTCCCTTTACAAATATAAACTTATATTGTAGGAAGGACAGAATTAAAAAATGGATAAATGCATTGTTTATAGATGGTACTCTTTGGGGCTGTAAAGAAATTGAATTTGAAACTTTCTTTTTTCTTTGAGAATTAAATTTTACTATATTATGCACTATCAATGTTAAAATATTTTAAGTTAAAAATTATTGAAACGGTTAGAATTAACATTTTTACTTAAAGTTGAAAATTGATACGTCACCTAGAATGAGCTCACCAGTAGTGACATGGTTAATACAGTATAGAAATAAAACTGTCTTCTTGTATGATTCAATGGAGAAAGGAATTTAAAAATTTAGTTCTCTGCTTGATAAATTGGTTCATCTGTTATATTAAAGAAACTAACTTTTGTTTCAAAACCAGTAGAGATATTATTAAACATGTTATAGCCTCATTTAACACTTTCTTGACAGGTTGATCATTTTGCATGGCCTTGAAAAGTCATAAGCTTTACATAATGGAACTCTGAATTTACTAAGAAATATGGCAAGCTTTTAGGAAACATTACAAGTCTGTTGTAAACAGAAAATCAGACATTTTAATAAAGTATTTATCGTGAAGATCTGTTCTGTGAATTTCTAAAGCCTTTAATGAATCAATCTGAGTGCAAGGCAATTTTCACACTAAAATTGAAAATTATGAAATAAAAAGAACAATACTTTTTTTTTTTCCTTCTCTGAATCAATTTTTAGAGATTTTCAATTTACTTATATTCAAAATTTCAACCGTTTACATTTTCACATACAGTTTAATTTTATGTTTTTATTACCTGGTTTGTGTCATGTAAACAGCTTATTCATCCTTGAAAACCAACACATCACAGTGGAAATGCACAAGCAGAGACCCATATGCTAATGTACTGTACAGCATGAAATTGTGCCTAAATAGGCCTACATTTTTTTCTAGAAGTATATGTTCAAAAACAAATTTGTGTACTTTCAGATATGCTTTTAGAACGTAATACACAACTCACTAAAATAGAATGTCCAAAAAGAAGTACAATTTAATTGACTTTATAATCAAGCTGTTATTATCATCAACTTCACTTACACACACGTATCATTATTGCCTCTTCAGGTCATAGGACTATTTTTATGTTGATTTTTGAAAGAGAAGAAGAGATTTTATCAGTTTTTTCATAATACTGGCCAAGTTTATTTTCAATGCCATTCAAGCACCGAAGCCTACAGCAAAAACAGTTAAGAATACTGTGCCAAAATCTATGCACAACTACTAAACAAACTCCACCAAATCTGATAAGTACTGTAGACATGGAATCAAAATAGGGATTTGTAGCTTGAGAAAATAAAGTAGACACTATTTCCAGTCCAGTTTGTTTACTGTTTTTTAGAGTCCCAAGTTGTAGGCTTGAAAATATGATCTCTGCATTTTGATTGAACTTGTTTCTGTACTTTTTGATTATCCCTATACCCCTCTTTAAATTAATAATTTTTAATTATCTTGGTATTTATAGATTGTGTTTACTTACAGTGTAGATGCTATACTGCTAAGAGAGAGAAAGCTAAGAGCTGCAAGCACATCACATGACAACAAAAGTGAAAACTGAGAATTTTTTAAATATTTTATTTTGAAAGTAAGAAATTAAAACTTAAATAATGTAAAAATCTGAATGATAAACAACATTCTGATGCTAATTTAACTATAAAATGTGACATGCATAAAAGCCAAGCCCATACTTAACCCTACGTCAACTGACAACTAAAATTGTTAGTAGGTAAAGTCACTCTCGTCATATTTAGTTTCTAAAATAAAACTAGTGGCTGAAATTTAACAGGAACTTCTGTAAAGACATGCAGTTTCAGAAAAATAAAGTATCTTAATTTTGATTTATTTAGTTTTTATGCATTATTACTTTTAAAAACTTAGGAAATTACATTAGAAAATGGTTTTTATAAGAAATAATTATAATACTTATATTTGTACCCAATCTGAATTTCTTGCATTTATGTTCTGATTCATTATTTTTAAAATCAATAAAAGCATTTTATCATTCTATAAATGTAAATGTTGTCTATTTTTCATTATTTTTAAATCACCTTTTGTTTATTTAACACACAAAACCAAAAATAATATTTCTAACTAAACCCGAACAATAAGCAAGTATTTATTATAATTAATTAGGATTACACACACACACACACATGTATATACACACAGATATGTTTATATATATATCATTTTAAACTTATTTCATAAATGTATTTATCTTTATTTGAAATTTATGTTTCATTGTACCCACTGTGCTGATAAAACCCTGACACCAACATCGTGAACTGTGTTCAATTACTATAATCATATCTCACACCTGCTCGGGACACCTATCCTCTTACTGACTAGCACATTACAAAGAAGTAATAGTAAGAAAGTAGATATTGTGTGTACGATACAGGAATACAGTTTCTTTGATTTTAACAAATGTTCTCGTATGTGCCTTTACAATACAAAGTACAACTTAAACTACCACTACTAGTGAATATATCAAAGTTTACAGTACAGGCTATTGTTACAATACATACCATGTAGCAATGGATCAGATGGTGTTATACAAACTTTTTACCAAAGTAACATACACCATAAATTACAAAGAAAGTGACTTTCTAACTGTTATAAAATCAGTCTAGGTCACCTTCTTTCATTATAACTGTTCAAAGGCGAGATTTGTGTTGGAATTCAAAACTCAAACTCTCTAAGTATCTCACCCCTGTTATGTAAATGTACAGTGTATATGTTCTGTCAAAATGTCCTCAAAGCTTCTGATGTGAATATGTTTAGTCTTTTCACAACTAAAATATGGTATTCATTCATTTTCACATGGAGTCTAAGTTTCAAGTATATTCAGGTCTCCTACAAGAATAACAACTTATTTAGTTACTAGGAGGAAGCCACTCTACAAGCTTGCTTTTTTTTCTTTTCTTACAAGAGCCTGCTGACTATCAGTTAAGCTCATTTCTTGTTTGTCAAACTAAGATCCTGTTATCCATAGATCAAGGGTAAGAGATGCTTTTATATATAATACTCGTAACTATTCACGGACGTTGTGTGGCTTGTAATGAATATTTAAACAAAATTCCTTTATTGAAATTGATATTTTGTGATTTTATGTTTTAGTCTACCAACAGAAATATCACAAACATACATGGAGTGATATCTTTCAATAAAATGAGATGTCAGAAGCATTTACAATTTTATGCATAACCCAAAGAAATTGTTTATATGTGCTAGTTATACCAGCCACTTACACAAAATATTTGTGTATATCATATATACAGCAAAGTAATAACTAATAAAATATTTTTCTTTACAGTGTGTGTGTGTGGTGAATAGCTCACAGAACAGGAGACTCTCCCATATATGCTTTTATTCAAGTCACATGTTCTTCATAACTTTCACAGGTTTTTTATCTTACTTATGATGAATAGTTAAATAGGATACATTAGTCTAACTACATTAAAAGTTGTTTTCACTGTATTTTGTGATTTTATGTTTAGGTCAATACACATACATCAGAAATGTATATGGAGTGATAGCTTACAATAAAGTATAATGTTATATAAGAAATATTTACAATGTTATGGACAAAATGAAGTTACTTATATATACTAGTTCTACCTGTGACTTACACAAAATATTAATTTCTTGTGTTTATATCAGTAATATCAGTAACTAATAAAATAGTTTAGTCTACAAGAAAAACATAATTTGACATAGTTTTCCAAGTCTTGTAAGGTAAGATTATTTTCAATTTCTAAAACTTCTATCTTCTGTGAGACATACTTGTTTGTGCTACAGTGTAAGCATCCAAGCATTATGGATTAGATATTATTTACTACAATTCATGTTTTAGACATTATGTGTACATTATGTATTCTGCTGTTCTAACAGACTATACATAATAGATGGTGTGTAACAATTGATACATTTCGTTTAGCCTGTCTAAATACTTTTAACTGTGACAAACAGTAAAAATGTAATTGCTAATTGAATTTGTTAAATGTGTTCTTAGTTCAAATGTATATGTATATCATGTTTTCAGTATGTCAACC